AAGTAGGCTATACACGTTTCATATATGGAAAGTTTGTAACTTTCTTATTGACTTTAGCTCAAATAATTAAACACTTCAGTTAAAAAATGTGAATGTTGATTCTGTGTACTATATATGTAATAAACGAGCATGTAGCCCAATAAGTATAAAATTCAGAAGGCTACACAACATGAGGTGGATCTGTCAAAAAGTTTCTCTTCTTATGTCATTGTTCTGGGTCAGCTGACCCGGCATTTTGAGTTTATGCTGTTTTGTGATTTCTTTGTGTTAATGTTTTAGTTTTCTGTCATTTAGTATTGAGTTTAGTCCTGGTTTTGCTTCTATGTTTAATTATATTTCTGTTTCCATGTTTTTTTGCATATATGTCACTCCCTGTTTCCTATTTGAGTCTGTCATGTCGCATCATGTCCATATCGTGTCTCCCATTTCTGTTCCCGTGTTCCCCACGTGATGTGTGTTCTCCCCAACCCATCATGCTGCTCGCTCTCCCTAATTTTTTATTTTTTGACACCTTAACCTTCATTACAAAGAGTATAACAATCAACACCTTTTGAAAAGCTCTTTTCAAAATTATAAGAGCGATATAGATACCCTTTGTCCCTTTGGTAAAATCGTCCCAGAGACTTGCTAGTTTTTGTTTTCATCCTGTACCTTTACACAGACTTTATGTAAATCTGTGTAGGAATTTTTTTTTAAAGATGTGCCGATTGCCAAATTGGCCAGCAGGTGTCACTGTGAAGGTGTGTTTTACACTGTTTCAAAATCTCTATACAACAGGTGTTGTGCCAGAAAGTGAATTCCAGTATTTAAACTGCTGTAAATGATTTGTTGGCCCATAATATGCGAAACATATGTCAAATGCATGAATGATAACGAGTCATCATGAGCCACAAACAACATTCCTGTGACAAGATGGAAGCTGCAATCAGTTTTTGCCAGAGTGACTTTTGTATAAACTTTATCTATCAAGTTAAAAAGTGTCCCTGACAAATGTGCATTTGAAACTCAAATGCACAGTAATAAAGAGATATTGCGCAAAATAGGAAAGTGGCTATTTGATGTCAAAAACCAGTACAAAGCCTATGATAATCATGATAGTGATAACAATGGATGTTATGATAATAAGGTTGCCAACTATAAATGCGGGTAATGATGATGTTGGACCAAATGACAGCATTTCCATAGTTGTTGTTAAAACATGTTTGTCAGCTTGTCGTTACAGTCTTGGGTTTTCATAAGCATGCCTTTGCCTATACAGCCAAATGTTGATCAAAGCAATTTTAATGAATGAAATGAATGAACATCATGAAAATGAATAAGACTGAAACACAGTTTCAAAATGGTCTGAACAGCAGGAAGGGCCAGTCTCCTCAAAACTTAATTCAGACAATGGCAACCATCAATCCATCTTCTTCCGCTTTATCCGGGGCCGGGTCGCGTGGGCAGCAGCCTAAGCAGAGAAGCCCAGGTGAGGGTAGGGACGTAGATCAACCGGTAAATTGAGAGCTACGCTTTTACACTCAACTCCCTCTTCACCACGACGGAGCGGTGCAGCACCAATCCGTCTGTCGATCTCCGGCTCCCTTCTCCAATGACAACCTTCTCCCAGAAATCACAACCACATCAGCTCACCACTGGATGTCTTTTAAATTCCCAATCCGGCGCACAGGGACAAACTGGTTTTACTCATAAACCTTCTACTTCACAACTTCTATGGAAGCGATGACCCTTAGTGACTGCTGTTAGGGTAATGATCCCACGTATTCACTGCTGCTTCCTTATAAAGCTGCCCGACGAGATCATCAATGTAAGAAGATTTTTTACATAATACAATATAATCAAGTGTGCCTTATATTCAAGTGTTCATATATTTCAACATAACCAAGCTTATTGTTAAAGAGAACATGATGTATTCCTTACTTCAGTGTGTGAGATGTCAGATAAGCATGATATACTTCTGTATTC